TATAACTCTGCCCAGGAGCAGAAAACTTGAAATATCTCAAATTTGTGGTATAGATGAGGGGCACACAGATCTGCCCATATACATCCTACCCAAATGCTTAAAAGGGAATACAACCAGCTAGCATCTCTGTTCTCTTATGTAAATCTGGAGTCATCCATCTAATTCAAGGAAGAGGACTGCTGAGAAATCGATCCTAATCTTTTATTGACAAAAGAGTACTAGCTAGCTCTACTAATCAATAAAGTTACTTGATTATTAAAAAAAAAAAAAAGAAAGGACTAATATAAATAAACATAACTCCCTGAGATAAGAAAGATAAATTAACTTTTAATTCATCTGATACTCATGTCAGAGATTTTTAAGAGGACAATACATTCACAAAATCACACAGACCATTAAGAAAAAAAAGTAGAGAACAAAACATTATAAGAAATTAATATGTAATTGCTGAAATAAAATAATAAAATTGTTACAGATGAAAAACAAGGTGATGATACAAGAATTGCTATCAAAGATTTCTATCATAACATAGAACATAAATATAAAAATAGAGAATGTAGAAGAAAATCTAATATTCATGAAGTCCAACATTGAGTCACTGAGTCCAACATCTGCCTAACAGAGTTTCAGCAAAATAAGGGAGAATTTAAGAAAAGAAAGTTCTCAAAGCTGCAAAGAAAAGACTGAATTGAAAGGGCCCACATAGAGCAGCATGAATGACCAGAGAACCATACTCTGATAAAATGTTATGAAGTTTTATTTCCAACCATTATGGCAAAACTGAACACTTTTAATGAGTTAAACAAAATTTTTTACAAAAGAATGAAATTCAAATTAGCACCAGACTTCTATTCAGCAAAACTGAATGAAAGTTCTAAGAGAAAATTATATGAAAATGAGATTGTCTTGCCTGAGCAATATTACTATAAAGTTTGAAAGCAAAGTAAAAACATGTTTAGCTATGTATAAATTTTAAATTACTCTGAGGATAATTTTTTAAAAAATAGAAAATTAGTCCAAGAATTTTAAGAACCTACAATAAAAACAACGTATAAATTAGAGTTGGTATTGACAGCTTGATATTTATACCGAAAGGATTCTTCTTCAGTAAAATACGTTTGCATAATTATGTTTTTATTCTATTTAATTGATTCTCAACTGCTATGGTTTGAATGAATGTGTCTCTCCAAAATTCATATTCTGGAACTTAAACCCTAATATAATAATGTTAAGAAGTGGGGCCTTTAGCAGGTGATTATGTCATGAAGGGAGAGCCTTGATAAATAGGATGATAAAACAGCTTGAGAGAACTAGCCCGGCCATTTTGTGCTCCCATCTCTTCTACCATGTGAGGATTCAGCAGCAAGGCTCCATCTTGGAAGCAGGGACCAGGCCCCCACCAGACACTAAGCTCCTGGTGCCTTGGTCTTAGACCTCTCAGCCTCAAAAACTGTGAGAAACAAATCTCCATTGTTTATAAATTACTCACACTTATATATTTCATTATAGCAGCACAAATGGACTACACCAACTAAAAATAAAATACAGGCTAAATAATATTTACTGGCAAATAGCAAAAGACTATATGTCAATCATACATCAAATCTGTTTAAAAATATAAATGCTAAAATATGTAGAATTAATACAAATAACACACAGTAGAAAAGACAGTGAGGGGGATATAAAAGGAAAAATAAGTCTATCATAGAACCCTTTTCAAAAAGGAGAGAATGGAAACTTTTTACATTAATGGTAAAGAAACTCAGAAATAAGTATTTCTAATGTTATACTAATGTCTAGCAATAGAAATAAAAGCAAAAATAACAATAGTTATTTTAGGAAGTAGACTCTGTGTAAGAGTGGGAAAGATTTTGCTTTTGTGTTACTGTCTTTGTTGTTTGAATATTTTAACTTGTGCATATGTTATTTTATAATTAAAATATCAGTTATTTATTGAATTGTTCTAAAACATATTCTGTAATTCCAATTTAAAATGGCTTTGGCATGCCATATTTTCTATTCATATAATTAAATTTCAGTATAATTCAGAACCAAATCAGTATACATCTTGAGAAAGTTTTGTACATTTCTCAAGATTTTCTCAATATGTGGGTATCCATATTTAATTAAGCAAACATTCATTGAAGAACTTAACTATTACTTATTTTCTTGTTCCAGATATATTAAAATATCCTCTATAGCAGAAGTTGGTGAACATTTTTTATTAAAGGCCAGATAGTAAATATGTTGGTCTTTGCAGGCCCTAAGTCATATTTTGGTTGCAACTACTCATCTCTGTTATTGTATCCTGAAAGGAAAAACAGACAATACCAAAGAAATGATGGCGGTTGAGTTCAAATAAACCTTTAATTTCAAAAACAAGTGGTATGCCAGATTTGACACGTAGGCCTTAGTTTGCCAACACCTGTTTATATCTGCACCAAGAAAGTGTCTACTTTCTTGTTACCCACATGTACAATTTTACCCCATTATAATATATATGTCAATACTAAATTGCTAGGCATGTTGTAGCAGAACTACATAGTAGGTCTAAATCATTTACAGTTGTCTCTACTTCTTGCTGGGCACATACTGCTTTCCTAGTTTTTTCTCATCAGTTACTTTGATTTATAGCTGGTTTAATGATTTAGGTCCTTTAGTCTGATTAGAAACAAGAAGGTTTGCCACACTGAACCCAGAGAGAATGCAATCTACACTTTCGTCTGTCTGAAAAATATACTTATGTTCAATTCTAATTTCCTGCTGCTTGTAACTAAAGAATGAAGCTAAACACATTCTGAAGTATTAGGGGAAAAAAGCTTATTATACTGAGATAAAATGATGTGCACTGCAATTCAATTGGTTCACTGACAGAATGACCTTAATTTTTATTCAGAATGCTCTGCTACACTTTCAGATGTAGATGAGAGATAATGGGCCTACCATGAATATTGCCTGTCAGCCTGATAAAACTGACAAGATGAAGAGACAAGGAAGTTCCATATCCTCTTATTTTCATGTTTAGTCCTTAGGGATTTTTTTGTGTTAGAGCATTGTTGCTGCTTTGTCTGCTAAAGCCAGGTTAAGATATTTATGGAAAGACTGATATACTCAGAGACAGGTGACAGCAACTTGAGACACTCACGATGGAGCTGGAATTCTCTAAACAAGAAATTTATGCTGATGCTATAATTTTTTTTTTAATCCACTGATGTTTACTTTCTTAGCTGTGAAGATACCACCACTGCAAAGTATATTATATAATAGGATCTACCTATATTTCTCAGAAAGTGTAAGGGTGTATACTGTTGGGGTTTAGAAACAGACACCCCAAAGGAAAGGCCTCAGAAGCATAAAAACAAAGTTTTGCTCTGAACTTCTCCTGCCCTCCTGTCTCCCACCCCTCATTCTACCTCAAAGCAAGCCAAAAAAAACCTAGAATTCCTCTTCCCCAAGGCAGGTCATAGAAACCAGAACCCCTTTTCCCCCAATCCATCATTCCCAATCCAACACCTAAAGATATTACTCTTTTCCCCCACCTCTCAGTATAAGAACTGGCCATAAAGAAATTCTCTCACCTACCATGCTTGATTGTAGGTCATAAGATCCCCATATCAGAAGGGGTCTTGCCCCATACCCACGAAGAAGTGTTAGGCAGATAATGAGGGACCTCCGGCTATCCTATGGACAAAGTTGGGTGCCTCAACGTGGTGCTTCCTTGAGCAATTGCCCCACCTGGGGAAGAAGAACAAGGGCAGGTGCCCCCATCTTGGTGCTGCCCCACCTTAATCCTGCCCCAAGCAATTGCTACACTCGGGGAAAGGAGGAGCACCCTGCCAATCTGCAAATGAGTACAGGAAATTCCCCAGTCCAGGGCCAGGCAGCCCAAACTGGAAATAGGATCTGGAAAGTGACTTAGAGTACTCTAAGGCTAATTATTATTCCATTAACTGTCCATCAAAGTGGTTTCATGGTGACATCTGAACCCAGGGCCTAACCCAGACAGTATAAAACAGGACCCCAGACCATAACCAAGGTCTTTTGTCATTACAGGGGGCCTGTTCATTGTCTGTGGCGAACATCATCTGTGGCATCTTGCTTTATAAACCTTTCTTAATCTTCCTCAATAAACCTTGTTTTCATGCTTACCTTGTTTTCGGTGCATCTAGTCATTCTTCAGCCAAGAGCACACCGAGAACTAAAAACAAGTTTGCGGACCCAACAGAAGGAATTTAGCACAGAGAGATCAATAAAAATCTGAACAGACAGACTCTGCTGAGTTCCCCTATTAAATCTACTCCCATTATGTCCTTTTCGTCCAAGCACAGTTCTACACATTGGCCAACTCTTCATTGAACCTACGCATAACATGGACAGCTTCCCTTTAATCTCTGGGTCTTCATTCTGAAGGTTCCCATGTCACAAAAAACTATGATCAAATAAATTTGTTATGCTTTTCTCTTGTTAATCTGACTGTTGTTGTAGGTGTGTCGGCCATGACCCTCATGATGGAAAGGAAAGAGATCACCTTTACTGTATCTCTACAGTTTGTAGGGTTTTATGCTCTAATTTTCTGTAGCTCTGCCTGCTAGAGTTCAGAAAAAGCAAAGATCTTTAGGTGCTGGAATTTTCAGCCTTCACAGAAAAGAGGCTGATGTCACTGCAAGCAGGATCAGAGGGGGAATGACTATAGGTCTTATATTACATTATGCTCCTTCGGGTATCTGCACCTAAGCCTACGTTCCAGACTGGAACATCACTGAATCCTAAAAAGTTTTCCTCTACTTCCCTAGTTGCATGCTTTGCTCCCAGTTTTGAAAGCTCCCCACCATGCACATACTGCTAGAGTTTAAAATATTTTTTTTCCCTCATTGCAGTTCTAGGAAGACATCTCTCTCCATTTTTGACTAAGTGAAAATGAAAAGTGGCAGATCCTAAAAATATATTCAGTATTTATGATTCCAACACCATCCTTTCTCATAAACTTTTAAACTGGAGAATGAATGACTTTTTAGGGAGCAAGCACAAACCATTATTGTACAATCTCCTCTAACACAAAGACATGTCTTTAACTGGGAGAGAAAAAATTTGCTTATAGCTGTTAACTTAAAAAATAAGTTATTGAAAACAAGACAGTGACACTCAATAGAAGCCAAGATTTCAAGGACATACCCGGGAAAAGTCTCCTGTGGACTAGGCTCTCGGTAGAAGAGGTAAAGAATTTTGCATTTAAAGATAAAGGGGAGTGCACAGGAAAAAGGGAATGTCGCCAGTGTGATCTTCCTCCGTCCTTGTGTCCAGTGACAAAAAATTGAAACCAAACACCAAATTAGGGAAGCATAAGCAGAAAGTTTTATTTAGCAAACCCACTCCCAAAAGCAAGCAGGGGGTGGTACACTCTGAAGGGGTGAGAGTGGGCATACATACAAGCAGACAGTGGCCTTGGAGTTGTGTTAGGTTTCTCCTTTCCTTTCCTCTTTCCTGCATAGATGTCCCCCAGGCCAATGAGAATGTTAGTTCCTCCCATCAGTGGGGCAGGGGAATTTGTTACTTTATTTGTCACAAATAAAGTGTCAAGGCTTCCAAAGCCCATTCAGAGGGGCAATACTTTGTGGTGATGATGGCATAATGAAGTCAGAGTCACTTGAAGACACTCTTGCCCTCCATCTGTGGCAGGCGCCTCCCAAGGGGCTTCCCCAAACAGGAGCAAGCAAAGTGTTGCTGTAACAGTTACAGCTTACCATGGCTTTTCTTCTTGTTGATCCTAATTTTGTTCCTACTATTCCAGCCCACCTGTGTCCCCTATTCTGGTCTCCTGCTTCAGGAAGGGTGTAGGAGATGAGCAGTGAGGTAACGGATGGTATCTTGCGAAGTTTTATTTGGTGCTCAGTAAATCTACATAAGATAAGATAAATTAAAAAATAGTCAATGTAGTAAATCTTCTCAAGATAGGTAGATTTCTTCCTTAATTTGTGTCTGTGGAGATAAAGTTGTAATGACATTTAAGAGTTTATTTAGGCCGGGCGGGGTGGCTCACGCCTGTAATCCTAGCACTCTGGGAGGCCAAGGAGGGTGGATTGCTCGAGGTCAGGAGTTTGAAACCAGCCTGAGCAAGTGCGAGACCCTGTCTCTACTATAAATAGAAAGAAATTAATTGGCCAACTAATATACATAGAAAAAATTAGCTGGGCATGGTGGCGCATGCCTGTAGTCCCAGCTACTCGGGAGGCTGAGGCAGCAGGATTGCTTGAGCCCAGGACTTTGAGGTTGCTGAGAGCTAGGCTGACACCAGCACACACTCTATCCTGGGCAACAAAGTGAGACTATTCTGTCTCAAAAAAACAAACAAACAAACAAAAAAACAAAAAACAAAAAAACCAAAGAGTTTATTTAGGCTACAGTCCTAAGGTTATAATTGACATGTACTTATTTTATAGGGGCTGCATATCTTGAAGGTTTTGGCGTTTGTTTGGATTTTCTGGGTTTTTTTTAGGGCCAAAGGAAATAAGAAATATTTTAACTCAAAATACATTTATTTGACATATTTTGAGATGGCTGTGAGCAAGCAGGAATACCACTGCAAGGCTGTCCAGTGGGGAAGCTGGGGGAGGGATTTGTATCTGTGGAGAATCTCAGTTAATGGTAGCCTGTCCCTGCCTATTTGATCTGGGACAGGTTTGCTGAGAGTCAGACTCCCTTATAGTTCTGAATGAAAGCATTTCCCTGGGGGTTCTTATCCTGAGGCTTATCTACAAACCAAGACCACCTTGCCTGCCAGGTTTCCTTTCTCCCTTCCACAACCAATCTACCTACCAGTAAACCCTGTTTAGTCATTTTCTAAGGCCCTTCATTTCTTAAAAGGGACCCCTGTACCTCATTGGGAAAAGGAAGGCAGTGCTTGTGTGACTCAGTTTCAGGCTCAGTCCTCCCCTTTGGCGTAATGACTTTTGTGGGGGGTCCTGAGATTTTTATTTTTCCTTTACATGGCCAATAGCCACAGGTTTTCTCTCTTTGCTACCTCTGAAGCTAGCACTAGACTATCTTATATCCTAAAATCTCAAGTTATTTTCTACACATATTATGGTCAAATGGCTCAATAACTCTACTAATCTTTAGCCACCCTGAAAGCAAATCAGGTGTTGCAGCCTATTTTCCAAATACTAAACTAACTCTGGAGGCACCTGATTGGAATTTGTTGACCTATCACTACCTGCTAATGACTGCTTGGGAATTGTTGGGTAAATATAATTTAATACTAGATCTCCTGCCAAACCAGAAAACCTATCCACAGTCAAAGAGAAAGAAGGCAGTTTTATTACTGAATAAGCATTAAACCAGAATGTGATGCACACCATAGCTGACCCACTGAAGAGAGAAATCTTATGCTTTTAACCAGATACGAATCATTGCATACATGTTCTTAAGATAACTAGTGCTTGAGCAAGGTGTCTTGACAGCACTATTTGCTGCACATAGTTCATCATAAACTTACCTGCAACTGCGGTGGCCATTTACGTTGGCTAATTGCCTTCATCCAAAGGAATAACAGAACTTCTCAGATTTCTATAAAGGGAGGTACAGTTCACCTTTGATCAACTTGGAGTTAGGGTGCACTGACCCACCCACATAGTCAACACTCTATTACTTTTGACTCCCCCAGGCTTTATTACTAATACCCTACTGTCATCCAGAAGCCTTACTGAACATACATAAACAGTTGATGAACACGTATTTTGTATATTATATGTATTATATTAATATAGTCTTATGATAAAGTAAACCAGAGGAAAAGATGTTAAGAAAATCATAAGGAAGAGAAAATACATATTCACTATTCATTAAGTGGAAGTTGATCATCGTAAAGGTCTTCATCCAAGTTGTCTTCACACTGAGTAGGCTGAGAAGGAGGAGGAAGAAGAGAAGCTGGCCTTGCAGTCAGAGAGTAGCAGAGGCAGAAGAAAATCTCTGTATATGTGATTCTTGCGCCCCCAGGCATTTCAAAGCCCTGCTGTTTGAGGGCCAACCAAAGTTACAATTTGGAGCCTGATGCCTAAATTAAACTCCCACATGGATGGGAAGATGAGGGTACTATCTTCCTTGATGTTTACATTTGGAAGAGATAGCCTGCAAGCCCTTGAGAAGACATTTTTGGTTTATAAGGCTGACAAAAGGCTTATTTAGCTTTCTAAAAGATGCATGTACATCTCAAAGGGGAAGATTAAGAATTCACATATACTGTAGAAGTTTTCTAAAGCTCTAAGAAAAGGGAAGTCCTGGGGTCTCTTTCCCTTTCTGTACCAGGGAGAATTCCATTTTGTTTTGGTTTTCTTTTATATTTCTTCCTTACATTTGTATTTATCCTTATAGAGTGTTTCTTTTTTCTTTTTTTCTTTTTTTTCTGAGACGGTCTTGCTCTGTCACCCTGGGTAGAAGAGTGCTGTGGCATCATGGCATATCACAGCAACCTCAAACCCCTGGGCTCAAGCAATCCTCATGCCTCAGCCTCCCAAGTAGCTGGGACTATAGGCAAGCGCCACCACACTTGCCTAATTTTTCTATTTTTAGTAGAGATGGTTATTTATTTAATTTTTTTTTTACTTTTAGTAGAGATGGGATCTCGCTCTTGCTCAGCCTGGTCACGAACTCCTGAGCTCAAGCAATCTTCCTGCCTCGTCCACCCAGAGTGCTAGGATTATAGGCGTGAGCCACCATGCCAGGCCCCTATAGAGTCTTGAGAAGATGCCTCATAAATGTCTAGCTTCCTACATCTGCCCTAGGTTCTGCTTACTGTGGCATTGCCAGATTTAGCTCTGTTTTCTTCAAATCCTTGAATAAATTCATATACATTGAGAATTCAGGCAGCCCCTCAAAACAGAAATTAGGTCCAATATTATTTATTACTTACTAACTATATATATCTTCTTCTTAGATTTCCTTAAAACCCAGAAAATTCAGATTAGGAGCTTTTGAGTCTCCAATTCTCATCCTTCTATGATTTCCTAGTAAAGAAAATTTCAGCAAAAATTTTCAGCAAAAATATCATCAAAAGCTGCTGATGTGCCATTTTGAACACTCATATAAATCTCAGCTAATCACTAGTAGATGGGCAGTAATGTGCCTTCATAGAAATGGCATTTTTATGTTATTCATTTATATTTAACTCTTTGAGTTGAACTTTATAAATGCTCACAGCAATCTGTACTAGAAAGTAAACTCTACAATGGTAAGGTCCTTGTTTTTGATCACTATTTGATGAATAAATGAATACATGGATGAATGAATGCCTCTTTTTCACTTCAAGTTCATTTATCCTTATAGAGTTTCTTCTGTATAATCTTACAGTAACTCAAAGTTCTTTTGTTTCTGTTATTTAATAGAAAATCTCTGACTTGCTAGCCTGGTATGAGGTTGGGGCAAAAGTAATTGTAGTTTTAGCATTGTTGAAATTGGCCCTTTGATATTGGAATACATTCTTAAATAAATGTGGTTATGTTATACATCATTTTAATATGCATTTCTCACTTTATGCTTTTTTGCTGTTTATTTTATATTTATTTTAGACAATGGAAATGATGTTAGACAAAAAGCAAATTTGAGCAATTTTCTTATTCCAGTTCAAAATAGGTTATAAAGCAGCAGAGACAACTCGCAACATCAACAATTCATTTGGCCCAGGAACTGCTAACGAACGTACAGTGAGTGCAGTGGTGATTCAAGACCTTTTGCAAAGGAGACAGATGAGAGCCTTCCTTGAAGATGAGGAGTGCAGTGGCTGGCCCTTGGAAGTTGACAATGACCAATTGGGAGCAATCATCGAAGCTGATCCACTTAGAACTAGGCAAGTTGACCATTTGAAGCAAATTGGAAAGGTGAAAAAGCTCAATAAGAGAGTGCCTCACGAGCTGACCGAAAATAAAAAAAAAATTGTCATTTTAAGTGTCATCTTCTCTTATACACAACAAAAACGGAACCATTTCTCGATTGGATTGTGATGTGCAACTAAAAGTGGATTTTATACCACAACCGGTGATGACCAGTTCAGCTGTTGGACTGAAAAGAAGCTCCGAAGCATTTCCCAAAGCCAAATTTGCACCAAATAAAGTGCTGCCAGTCTGATCCAACACAATTTACAGCTTTCTTAATCCCAGCAAAACCATTACATCTGAGAAGTATGCAGAGCAAATCGATGAGATGCACTGAAAACTGCAATGCCTGCAGCCAGCATTAGTCAACAGAAAGGGCCCAGTTCTTCTCCACAGCAATACCCGACTGCACGTCACACAACAAACTTCAAACTTGAATGAATTGGCCTATGAAGATTTGCCTCATCTACCATATTCACCTGACCTCTCATCAACCAACTACTACTTCTTCAAGCGTTTCAACAACTTTTTGCAGAGAAAATGCTTCCACAACCAGCAGGATGCAGAAAAATGCTTTCTAAGAGTTTGTTGAATCCCAAAGCATGGATTTTTACACTATAGCAAGTAACATACTTATTTCTTATTGGCAAAAATGTGTTGATTGTAATGGTTCCTATTTTGATTAATAAAGATGTGTTTGAGCCTAGTTATAATGATTTGAAATTCAGTCCAAAACTGCAATTACTTTTGGATCAACCTACTAGTAAGCATCGTCTACTAATGATTATTTTTTAAAGTTTTTTTAATGATACAATTATGAAAAATAAATGTACAAGGGTGATAGTAACCTTTAAAAATGAATTGTTAGGTGCAGTAATAAAAGTGACCTCTGTGCTTTCTTAAAAAGAAAACACATATACACTGTACAATTTCTAAAAACACATATGCATATGTGAAAATGCACGTGTGCAGATATACAGACACAGTTTTAAAACACAGTGATTTTGTTTGTAATGTTAAAAGTTAGAGAATAGCTAATAAATTCTATGAGACATTAAACAAAAGAAAAACAAAAATTGCAGCATCAATACCTGAATTCAAGTGAAACATCCTATGAAGTTGTTAGAATGAAATTATAATTTTTGGAAACCATTATTAGGCTTTAAAAATAACAAATCACTAAATCTATGAATTGATCAAAGCATAACTCTCCTACAGTCATACATAAATAGACAAAAACAGGGAAAAGTACAATTGTGTAGTAATATTGGTGATGATAAGGTATATTTTTAGTACTTTATATATTAAGCAGAAAAAATTACTAAGAATTTGTCATATGAGTAATAAAATGTTTGCTTTATTAAATATAAATATATGAAAATTTATCTCTAAGAACAGAGTTAACTTTACTGTGTATGTAGAATATTTATATAAAATTTTCTAATTTAAAAAATCAAAAATAATGCAAGTTAGCAAAAATTAATAAAAAATATAAACAAATAAACAAATAAAAGATAAAGATCATTTAGGGGAAAAATCCATGTGAAGTCTGGTAATGTATGTATCAATGAGTAAATCCAAACTTTATAGAATTTTTAAAGATAAACAATAATGAGGACAAAATCAAGCTACATAGAATTTTTCCAACACTGCACTCTTAGAGGAAAATATATAATATTTAATGATTTTTTATTATTAAATAAGAAACTATGATACTACATTAACTAAGATTCAAATTAAAAGCATAAATCCAATTTTAAATTGCAGTTTTTAGGGATATAATATGAGCAAAATCTGCCAAAGCTTATAGACTTTTCCCCAAAACTGTACTCAGAGAAAAATATAGTCTTTGTTTTTATTATTAAATAAAAATAATAAATAAATTTTAACTAATTTTTAAATATTTAATTAAACAAATGTAATTAAAGTAGAATTAACCAATGTTAAGGGGTACAAATGTTTATAGATAGATACAGAGTAATTGTCCTTTGCATAAATCTTATCTCCAGTCTAATTTAAATACCCACATCTAAGTACCAATTTTCTACTTAACTTTATGTTTTTAGAGTCCTGTGAGAGAAGTCTATTTCAAACTTTCATAAGCAAAATAGGAAAATGCATTGACTTATGCTATGGTGAATATATGTGTCTCTCCAAAATGCATATATTGAAATTTAAGACCAAGGTGATGGTACTAAGTGGTGTGGCCGTGGGAGGTGATTAGAGCATGAGGGCTCTGCCCTCGTGAATAGGGTTAATGCTTTCAAAAAGAGAGTTTAGAGAGCTGCCTGGTCCTTCCATCTCTTTTGCCTTTGGGATGCCACATTCCTCCCTTTTGCCCTTCTGCCATGTGCTGCCTACACAGCAAGAAGGCACCATCTTGGAAACAGAGGGCAGCCTTTAATGGACACTGAATCTATCAGTTCCTTAATCTCAGACTTCCCAGTCTCTAGAACCATGAGAAATAATATGCTGTTGTTTATAAATTACCCAGTCTGTGACATTTTGTTTTAGCAACCTGAGTGAACTAAGTCAGCTTATATAACTAAGAAATCAGATGCAGATGCTCATTATTTTTCCTCTCTTGTCTTTCTCTTTCTCCATCTCCCATTCTCCACCCTTCCCTTCTTTCCCTCAAGTTTTCTCTCTGTTGTCCTCTATGTATTTTTATCCCTTTCTACTTCACATTATTTTTTTGTC